TAACAATGATATTAATGCTCTAAGCACGTATAGGTATTTTGAAAACTAGATTAAAATTTATTCGCACTAAGTATAATGAAATGTCTCAGTGGAAATACCGAGAGTCCTTACATTCCCTTTAACATGGTTGAATAAAGCGATGACTGATTCACGTATCATGGATGTGAATAAGCACTTTAGTTAAGTGGGTTCTGGCCAGTTTCAAGTTTCTTAATTCTTAATATTTATTTATTTATTTATTAAGAAAAGTACATCAACATCAACACACAAAAGACAATCGCGGTATAGGTAGATAAGAAAAATAGAGCTTTTGGTTATATTACATTCTGAGTATCAGTATCACAAATAATTGTAGCATGACAATTAATACCTACCACGCAATGTAGTTTCTTCATTGTATGTATTTATAAAATGTGATGGTCGTGTGTGATGTGAAATAACATACATTATACAAATTTTATCCAGCATTAGTTGCAGCGCTCCTTCTAAGCACTTTCAATATTAATTTTAACGTAGCAACGTTTCATCTGTTTTAATTTTTTAGCACCTATCGAGATGTTATAATTATATTAAATATTGAAAAGGAAGCTTATTGAATAAAACATATTAATAACTAGCTTTTGCCCACGCCTTTGCTAGCGTGAAATTTAGCTTGTCGTTATAAATTATAGCCTATATTATGTTATTCTAATGTATAAACAATGATACTGTAAAGTTTCATCGAAATCACACAAACTTTCTCATTTATAATATTAGTAGGATGTTTGTCGAAGTCATCATCCTAATTATAAAAATGTTGAATATGTATCTGTCAGCATTTTCAGCTTCTTAGCTACTCGTATTTATGTTTTACGAACCAAACATGGGTCCTAATGCATTCAAAGTCGTCAAAGACCGGTTGAAGAGGTATCATTTGTTTTTGAAACAGTCATCATGCATTGCCCTTGGCATGTTGTTATGCTCATTATTAATTCACCTACAAGTTCAGAATTTCAGTGAGTTCAACATCTTTAAATGCGGCCCGTTTATTTGAGCTGAAGATTACCCGCAGTAATACTTGATTTATAACGTCAACTTTGCTCCGCGGCCTGAGGCGCCTCGAGCGGCGCAGCAGCTGTCTTAGTCGATGAAACATTCATGACTGATCTCAAACATAATAACCACAGTTTTGTTGTTCCCTTCATTGCAGACATGTATTTTTAGATGTATTAGTTTTTGCCCGAGGCTTGATACCACAGTTGATACTTACGCGATAAATACTTTCTGTATGTCACAGAAAGTATTTATGGCGTAAGTATCCTCCTTCCAAAAACCAGGATAAAAACTATTGCATGTTTTTCCTTGGGTCTTGATCTCAAACTATCTCTACACCTTAGCTAAATTGGTTTGGTGGTAAAAGAGTAACAAACTATCCATCCTCTCAAACAATTCAAAATATACAGGTTTCCAGTGTGTGCCACGTGATAGGTGAGCATCATACCTAACGATTTCAATCCCATGTATGTTCTGCGATTTTTCGTAGTTTAGGAGTTATAATTAACTAGCGGCCGCCCGCGACTTCGTACGCGTGGATCTCGTTTTACCCCCTAAGGGATGGAGTTTCGTAAAATCCGTTCTCAGTGAACACTGAGCACATGCGTTCTAAAAGGAACCCTTATGCAAAATTTGAGACTCATAGCGCTTGTAGTTTCTGAAATTTCGTAATGAGTGAGTCAGTCAGTCAGTCAGTTATTCAGTGACCTTTTGTTTTTATAAATATATATTTTCGTAGAACATACATCACCTGACTATGATTAGACACCTCACAGGAAACAACCTGTATAGAATAGGATGCACCTACTTACACGTACCGTAAGGTTTGACACAATGAGGGCTATCGTTTTAGCGCTCACCAGTTGGCGCCACTGTAGAGTAAGGTCCTGTCACTTGCTAGTCGCGAAGACAGTGGCGCCAACTTGTGAGCGCTAAAGTGGTAGGAGGACTAACGCATTTGCACTCATCAAGATGGCGCCACTGTAGAGTAAGGTCCTGTCAAACGCCAGGGGTGCCAACTGTTAAGTATAAAAACGATAGCCCTCATTAATTCGTTAATTTGTATAATTTTAATGTTTTATATGACTAAAGATAAGATTGTTTCGCCACACAAACATGCACCCTCCTTTTTCAAAAACTATTCTAATCGCCAGTATTCACAAACATTACTGACATGAGGTCTTAAAGTGCGCGTGGAGTCGTGGACGCACAGGGTGACACACAAACCAATCACAGAGCTCTGTCCAACGCTGTATATCCGATTTGCTGCTTCACTTAAGTAAGCATCGTTTGTGAATCCGGGCGTTAGTCCAGGGTCTCAAACTATGGACAGGAACAGCTGTGTGCTCCTAGCTGCTCCCGTCGCCCCCCGTCCTGGGGGGCCTGAGGGGCCCGCCGTGTAGGCGGGCAATCGCCGGGAGGGACTGTGGTAGTGAAGGCTTTGTCCGGAATCCCACAGTTCCTTCCCACTTAAGGCGAATGACGGAGCACCGGGGTCTTTTAGTGGATATGCCTTTGTCCTTCTGACTTGCTGAGCCCCACATAACCTACCCTGTCCCCGCAGGATAGGTATGCAATTCAATGCATTTTTCCCCGAAAAAAAAGGGTCTCAAAGTATGTACGAGCCTTCTAACTTTCATGTAAATCACTTCAGCGGTTTTTGACACAACTTTTTGATTTATGAAACAATTGAAATAAACACTAAGGCTGGGTTGCAAAATTGGAAAAAAATTAGGCGCCATAATGGCTTAAATATTTTTTTAATGCTATGTAATTGAAAAAATAAAATGGTTAAACATTTTATACGTAAAAGCAAATCCTTGAAATCTAATTACAAATAAAAAAAGATTGATGAACATAGCTATAATTGCAAAGGAATTATTTTCAGTTTGGCCCTAAGATTGACTGGAGGAAAATGCCGAAAGGCATTAAGTCCGCCTAATGTACACTGTTCTATGTGCATACAAGTTTAAAATAAATAAATTATACTACTAATGAATATTGAAGAAAAAAAAAACGCTAATTTCATTCATAGGTAGGAGGACCTAATACTACAGTCTGAGCTCGCTCGAGTACTACGCGTAGTGATCGTAGCGCACTGCAAGTACTAACAACGCGCTCGTAGCGCTACGACACTGTCAGCTCCGTAGTACGTAGCTGGCGTAGCAGACTGCTACGAGCTGCTACATACGCTATGTGCTACGAGCTGCTACAACGCTAATTGTGCTACGAGCTTCTACATACGCCATGTGCTACGAGCGTAAAACTAAATGGAACTGGCTATCACCTCATGGAAGAATTATTATTATGCTTCTGTGCTGAAATTATATTAATATCTGTACTACAGCAAAGTTACTTCAACTATCCTAGTCTGGTCATAAGTTCTGTCACATCATAACTTTTGAATTTTAATAAAGGTCTCAAAAACATTTATTGAATTAGAATTTAGAATATTTAATGAAATTAAAAATGTGCACTATTTCGAATTTCATTTGTTTTTAAATATGTAGTGGCCGCATAAATGCCGAATTGCAGTTGTCATGCTGCATTTTTGATGTGGTGAAAAATTTGAAGTAGGTAAATATGTATAAATTTTCCTTTATCATTTCATCAAACGATATATTATGTAATGAAGTTATATGTATAAAATACACAAAACAAAAGTAATTGCCATCGCACGATTAGGACTCTAGCAGCATTAAAAGCTGTGAAGGCGCGAACTCAAAAAAATCCCATGCGTTAACAGACATGTTTTGTCCAGGAGGCAGGTTTAAGCAAAACCAGAGTGAAAAAAAACACGTTTTGTTTAAGCTGTACGCGGGAAGAAAGTAGATTGAAAAATGATTTTCCAATAATTTTTTTTTACCATGGAGGAGACTTAAAAAAAACAAAATGATAAAATCATTGAAGAAGCAGCAACCTAATTGCAAGTGTCCATATAGGCCAGCTTTCATTGTCACTCAAGATTTGGTAGCTTGTTTCAAATTTGGGTGTATGAGAGGTGTTTTTTGCGTGAAAGGCATAAAAACTAACTAACTTCTCACAAAGCTTGTGAAACTTTTTTCACATATCATGTTCAATTAAAGACATTGGGTGTTCTAGAAGGATTCTGTGCCAGCTCATAGATCGAAAAGCATGCAAAACCTGCTCGTAAGGGGTAAAATTGACCTCACCTGGCACGAAGTCTGACCCTCATTCAGTCCAGACTTTAATCCGTTGGATTACAAAATATGGCCACATTTGGAGAAAAAACATTTATTAAACGAGTTTTAACGTATAACGCCCATGTATTGTACCTACCTAGTTTTTCATGAAAATAAATCTTTTTATATTATTATTTTTTATTTTTATCTCAATAGATTATAACTCTAAATATGTATAACTCAAAGGTGACTGACTGACATATCAACGCACAGCCCAAACCACTAGATGGATCAGGTTGAAATTTGGCATGCAGGTAGATGTTATTACGTAGGCATACGCTAAGAAAGGATTTTACGAAATATCCACCCCTAAGGGGGTAAAACGGGATCCACGCGTACGAAGTCGTGGGCGGCCGCTAGTGGTTTAACATAAATCAATAAAAATATTTTTCAAGTTTTCATAATAGTAGGTACGGTCGTAACATTTATAAGTCTATGTCTCATTCGTAAACAAAAGAACGATGTGACCATCGTTTGTTTAATTTATCTTGCTGAGGCGCGTAGATTTATAAACAGAGCGGTAAATAAATGCCATCAAAAACATAACTTGTAAAAAACAAGTCTCGCAACTCAGTACTTTTACTTTGTAACGGCATAAAATATCTCTTGGTAAAAAAAAATCATAAAACGATTTTAAGATTTAAATCCTTGAACGGAAGCTAATTGAGGATAGCATGCGGTTTGATTGAGCAACTAATCGATTTGCAACGAGGATTTTTGAGAGTTTTGTGTTTGGTCGCAGGTGGCAGGCCAGCGGCGGGGGCAGGGCGCGCGGCCGCGGCGCCATGCGCTGACGCCATGCGCCGCCCGCCATGCCACGCCGCGCCGCGCCCGCGGCTCTCCCGCTGCTGCTCACCCTGCTGCTTGCTGGTAGGACGCTGCACTCATCACCTTTCCAACCGTTCTATTGTCGCTGGCTGTGAACGCGCGATTGTTGCTTTGTAGAGTACGAGTATAACGACACGCTCAAAGCCGGTGATTTACCCGTATGTCCGAAAGCAGCATTTGCTGGTAGTAGTCACACATAATAAGAACTTAGGTACTTATTAATCTTAAACATACCGAAGGATGGGCCAATAATAATCCATACTTTACATATTTTACGTTACAGTACCTACATTTTACCTACATTTAGTAAGAATTTGTCCACCGCGCACTAAGTAATATCAATTGCACGTATCTCACTAAAGAGTTCTGATGTGAGCTTAGCACTAGCTTTAAGCAGCACCGAGCGGCTAACACATACGGTTGAGCAGTGGCGCGTGTGTCGGCAGGATGCGGCGGCAACCCGGACGCCAAGCGCCTGTACGACGACCTGCTCAGCAACTACAACAAGCTGGTGCGGCCCGTGCTCAACGTCAGCGACGCGCTCACCGTGCGCATCAAGCTCAAGCTGAGCCAGCTCATAGATGTGGTAACTATGCGCCGCTGAAGTCCAGTGCAACCAATCTAAAACTACTACACATTTGCCGAATGCTCTTGCAAACGAAAGACGTGGGTTCAAGTCGCACTTGTAGCGATTTTGACTAGTAGACGTGTATTAAAAAAGTTCTTTTTAAATGCTTTATATGAAACTAAACTTACTCATAGATTGTCGTGTCAGTATTAAATACCCATACAAAAGTAATATTATAAACTATTTTAAAAAAGTTATTTTTTCTGTTTTCCAGAATTTAAAGAATCAGATTATGACGACCAATTTATGGGTGGAACAGGTAAGCGTTATCATATTTGAGGCTATTTACGCAGCTCATAAGAGCTCACACAGAAAGAACGATGGGTGCAATGGTTGCGTTGTGTTGCAGAGTTGGTACGACTACAAGCTGTCGTGGGAGCCGCGCGAGTACGGCGGCGTGGAGATGCTGCACGTGCCCTCCGACCACATCTGGCGTCCTGACATCGTGCTCTACAACAAGTGAGGCCGTTTGTTGGAAACTAATTCATTTATCATATTCGTAGGATCATCTGTCCAAATTGCATACAACACGCAACACGATTCTTTATTTGAGATACTTCGATGGACATGTTAAATAATTTGTAAACACATTACCCCTCCATTAATCAACAAAAATATCAACAGGGTAAATCCTTTTAATTTTACTCAAAAACTAAACCAGAGTGAAAACATTTTAAAATCACTTCCAATTTACTTCCAAACTATGTGAAATGTTTTGGCTGATGCCTTTGTTATCTGCTACAAAACTTTAAATGAACATTTTGCTCGAAATAACTATGCTGTACAAGTATGCTCTCACATCCTATCCCTTCTTTTCNCAGGCCTGATAATACCTAGATCTCTAAATTCTCCATCCTTTTGCTTATGTGAGAGAGAGAAAGAGAGATGATCACATGTCAGCCAGTCCGACACCTTCACTGTACGGCTATTTGTTGCTTCTTAGTCTGAGTTGCACCACCTTACTTTGACTTTAACAAACGTCAAAAATCTGTCAAACTCCATACAAAATACACCGGTTATCGTTATAGTCACGGTTAAAGTTAGGTGGTGCAACTCAGCCTTAGACTTATCATAATTATTATTATCTTGATCTAAATTGTAACCTAGGCGTCATTCATACTCAATTATTTCGAATTTGACTCGTGTCAATGTCCCATAGATTTTCAAAAAGCCGTTGTCTGAAATCTTGTTATTATTGATCAATTATATATTTTTTTAAATCAAACCAAGCCATAAACATCATTTGGTTTACAGTCCCTACAGTAACAAGACATTATAACATGAGAAACAATGCAGTTCAATAGATAAAGGTTCCCATAGCTATTGCATAAAGTGCAGTTAGGAACTGCATTATGGACAGAAAAAAAGGATTTATTGTGTGCAGTACACATACAGTTGCATTTTTAATGATTACCGTTAAGTTAAATGTTGAAACCATAATAACTTAAATTCGAAGTTTCGTTCGTTCGTTCAACCTACTCTAACAATGGCCTACAAAGTTTAATTTCCACAATTTTTTTCAAACTACAACATTTCAAAAACGATCTTTGGTCGGCGCCCGCGCAATTTATTTTTCCGATCCACCCATCCCGGATTGACATCTGTCATTCTTAATTTGAATGTTGACGGCACTGAGCGGCCCGGCCCATCGGCCACAGATTATTAAAAGAGCGTTATTAGTTCGTCTTTATAGGAAACAATAAAATCATTTAGTTAAAACTAAACTAATTTTATATTTTTATAAAGTCTCTAGTCGAAAAACTAGGTTCCGGACTGATATTGTAATTTTAATATTGACATAATTATCGTCTATGAAGTATGAAGCAAAACATGAGCTGAGCAAACCACATCATAAAATATCAAGACCCTAAGTATTACCGTTTTGAGCAAATAAAATAGTTGATTTGATTTGATTTGAAGTAAAACATACTTCATACCGAACATTATGGTGTTGATCGCACATGCAGACGTAATATGCGCTTGCGTTCTTACGCTAGTATGTCATTTGCCGGTTTTACACTTTCTCTGCTACTTAAAGTGATTTCATTTAGTCAAATGAAATAGATTTTAGACCATATTAAGAAGTGAAAATTTCATATTATTGCTGGAATATTACTTTTCAATTGAGATTAATCAAATCAAATCAAATCATAAGTACTGTTAATTAATTAACGAAATTGACTGCCCGTACTGATCTATTGCACAGCTGTTTCTATAACCCTAAAACTGCTAAAACTATCTTATAGTATGTTAAAGAAGTTCTGTTGTTAATTAATTTTACATACCTATGTATTTGTAAAATCAATAAACTATTCTTCTTACTTAAGGGCAGTTAATTATTTTTTTATTGTAAGGAATGTGCAATCAATTTAATCAAAGAAATTATACAATTCCGCGTTGTAATGTTAGGTACTTCCTAAAATACTGTTACCACCCAAATGTCAAATCAAATCGTCCCCCACAGTTAAACGGTGATTAGTGTTAATCAATGACTAATTAACCGTAAGTTAACAACGGGTTAGCCTGACGGCGGTACGTATCAATTTTCATTCGAAAGTGAGAAGTTTGGCGTAATTGTTAAATCACTTTCGTTATTTGAGTAAGGTTTCGCAATTATAAGCCTTTGAAATGATTACATGACCCAAAAATGGCTAAAATAACTTTCAACTATGAAAAATATTATCTTTGTTTTTATTAATTGACTTTGAATTTGATTGAGCGCCTCTTCTTTTTACATTATCTAACCCGTCAAACGAAAGTAGGTTTACGAAAAACATTACAAACTGCTTGCATTCGCAAATAAAAAAGAACTACATCTTTTAAACTTTAATATTACGAGAGCATAGCTTCTGTTTCATTTTCCGATTTGCTTGCGATGGCCAGTCATTTCTTATTTCTGGGTCTTCAATTAAAAAAAAACTACGTTCTAAATTCAAATTGGACAAAAAATTTGTGGTCGCCGGAGACCTGGCTGTATGTTTCATTATTCCTTTGCTTTAAAAAAAAACGGCGCGTGCGGCGATGTTTGGTCACGATTAATTTGACGTTCCAAATTCAAATTATAAAAAAAGAATGCACTCGAATTTCAGTGCGTTGGTCTACGTTGAGTTTGCATGACATTTTAAAGTGGTGTGATAGAAAATAAATCGAACGGAATCCATAATGGTTTTTTCTTTGGGTAGGTAGGTTTAGATTATTATTGGTGTACGTTCATTAGGATTTAAAAACTATGGAACTATAATATTGATTAACTTTTTGTGGAATTTCAGTGAAGTGCATTGTGTTTGTTGTTAGTTGATTGGTGCCAGTGATAAATGTGAGAGATATTGAAGAGTAGCGGTGGCGAGTCTCGTAAGTACTTTTTGTATTTTACGTTGCAGAAGTAAGCAGTTACCGTTCAAATCGTAGTTAAACATAATTATTTTCTTTGTATGATCAGAATGATCAAACAAATACTTTTGTTGTTGATTTATGAACAATTTTAACTCAATAGCTCAATTTTTTAGTCGTATGTGTCATCACATAGATTTAATTTTTGTTTGGTGCGCGTTAGCGTGAGCATGAGTGTATCTATAAGTACTTGATTGTGTTTATTAGCTTAGTTAATAATAAGTACTGAAGCTTATTTTCTCCATCAAGGTTATTGTTTACATATGCGGTTGATCATGTAGGTCATAGGTGTCGGAACGGAATATGCATATCATTTCTCAATGTAATGTGATGCTACATGATACTTTGGAAGAAATTATCCCTCGGTAGGTGTAGGTAGGTACGTCTGGTTCCTCTATGATATCGACTTTCTTCTAACCATATTATAACTTAAAATAGGTCACGTTTAATTAGTACTATCTACTTATTGCAATATTCTTTTACATTTCCCACTAGGCGCTTGCTCGTACTTTTCTCCTCTAGACTATATTCTTTAAAAAACCTTCTTTAAAATAAATAATTTTCAATGTAAACTACGTCTTAGCAATGACATTTTCATTTAATTTTAAACAGCTAATCTTGATGTGTGATAATAATCGTAAGGTATTACAAAAAGTGAGTTTCACAAACAAAACAATCCCTTACCAAGTCGAACCTTAACTTCGAACTCCTATGTTCATCAAATTAATTTCGTTGCGGGTCTAATGACACTTTAACTTCTCCCTTAAAAAACTTTGCCTTCGCTAGTTGGTTTTTATTGGCGGTCAGTAGATCCTGGTTACACAGGAGTTTCAGCGGTAGGAACGAGAGGTGGCAAAGTCTCGTATACAAAACAAATCGTTTTTATTACATACTTTTTTATAACTTTTACGCGAACCAGTTCACTTGCCATTTTCAAACAATTAAGCGACAGTGAACTGCGTAAAGTGCGTAAGTGCTTGGCGCAGAAAATTAGCGTCATAACATGCGCATGATTCGCAACGAGGCCTCGACGTAAAACTAAAACCGTCTAACGCCGTTAAACGTGATAACTGTTTTTAAAGAAGTATGTGGCAGTGGTGTGGCATGACTAGGGTTTTTCCAATGGTATTTGGTACTATAACGTGGGGAAGTGTGCCGTCGTGTCACTGTCAAGTTTTTGATGATATGTGAAAGTAAATAAGGCCTCCCGAAAGTCTCATTGTAACAATATGGTGACCAGATTTTTTTGAGCATATCGACATTGTTGTCAGTAACTTTGATACGATACTTTTGTATTGTTTTTTTGGGTTTACCCTAGATAGGTCAGTTTCCTAAACTTTTTTTTACTGCAATGCTCTTGAAACTTTGTAATTTTTTTGGGACGCATATCTTAACAAAACATAGGTTAACATTACAAACTATAGGTTATAGCTATACATATAAAATTTAAAATAAAAAGTTAATACATTTATTATACTTTTTGAATGGGCACTAATGATAATGAGAATGTAGGTACGTCGCGAATTCGCGATTGCTTAAAGTTTGGGGACCCCTGCTTTATGTTAAGTAAAAAAAAAAATATTTTCTTTATTATTCTTATAAAAACTTTATTCTTGGTTAGATGGTAAAATATTGCCAAATGTTTTTGCAAACTACACTCGCGAGCAAAAGTATGGAATCACTTACATGAAGTTGTTTCCATGCGATCTTGTGTACTAACGAATTTGTTAGGAACAAAAAAAGTGGCACCATTTTAAAGATTAAACTTTTATCTTTAAATTGATACCAAATTCATTTAAATCACACCAGTATTTAAAAAGATATCCCGGCTGATGTGGAGAAGTAACGAAAAAGACATGTATGAACTGTTTGATACGTCGCGATTTGCGGCCTATTTACCCCCTATAAAAGCACGCGTTTTCGGATTTTTGCTTTCACACGTTGATTCATACACATCTCCGCTTCTTTTGACATTTTACCTGGGATTCTACACCTTCAGAAGCAGCACAAATCGTTGCACTATTGCAAGAAGGGCTCAGCCAGCGGGCTGTCGCACGTCAGCGCCACATAAGC